CCCCCCGCCCCCCCCCCCCCCCCCCCTTCAGCCCCCGCCCCACCCCTGAAGCCCTCCCCTCCCCCTGCAGGAGAGCTGTCCCGCCAGCTGGAGGAGAAGGAGGCCCTCATCTCCCAGCTCACCAGGGGCAAGCAGTCGTACACCCAGCAGCTGGAGGACCTCAAGAGGCAGCTGGAGGAGGAGATGAAGGTGAAGTCCGTGGGGCGGCCGGGAAGATCACGGAGGTCGGGGGTCTCCAGGAGGGCCACAAGACGAGGTCTCCTTCGCCCTCGTGGTGGTAGCACCAAAGGGGAGTCAGGTGCAGGCTGGTTGGGTTGGGTGGTCCCATCTCACGGCGGTCCCGTCTCACGGTGGTCCCATCTCACGGCGGTCCCGTCTCACGGCGGTCCCAGCCCAAGGGCGGTCGAGCTGGGTTGCGTTGGCCCAACGGGTTGGGCTGAGCGGGTCAGGTGGGGGCGGCTGGGTCGGTCCGCGGGCGGTTGGGCGGCGTCGAGAGGTTGGGTTGGTCTACAGGAGGCTGGGAGGAGAAACACCGCCGCTTCCGGGGTGGGAGGACCTCGGTAGAGCTCAAGGTGCCGCGGTCGCCACGGTCCCACCTTCTCCTCGCCCAGGCCAAGAACGCGCTGGCCCACGCCCTCCAGTCGGCCCAGCACGACTGCGACCTGCTGCGGGAGCAGTACGAGGAGGAGACGGAGGCCAAGGCCGAGCTCCAGCGGTCGCTCTCCAAGGCCAACTCCGAGGTGGCGCAGTGGAGGACCAAGTACGAGACGGACGCCATCCAGCGCACCGAGGAGCTGGAGGAGGCCAAGTGAGTCGTCTCCCCGCGGGGGAAGGTCCACGCCCTGCCCGAGGGCAACCTCGACGGGGTCCGGGACCGGAGAAGCTCTGGGCCGGTGAGGGCGGACCTCGGAGGAGGCCCACCCCGCGGGCGATCCCTATGGGGCAGGGGAGAGCGGACAAGCTGTAGAAGGCTCCGGAGCAGGGAGAGGGACCTGGAGGCGGCCGAGGAGATGCAGAGCCGAGCCGTGGCCTGCCTCGGGGTGGAGAAGCTGGCGTTGGCCCTCTTGGTCCGCGGGCCACCACGTTGGGCGGCTTGGTTGTCTCCCGGGGCAGGAAGAAGCTGGCCCAGCGGCTGCAGGAGGCCGAGGAGGCGGTGGAGGCGGTCAACGCCAAGTGCTCCTCCCTGGAGAAGAGCAAGCACCGGCTGGGGGCAGGAAGAAGCTGGCCCGGCGGATGCAGGAGGCCGAGGAGGCGGTGGAGGCGGTCAACGCCAAGTGCTCCTCCCTGGAGAAGAGCAAGCACCGGCTGCAGAACGAGATCGAGGACCTGATGGCGGACGTGGAGCGGTCGAACGCCGCCGCCGCCGCCCTGGACAAGAAGCAGAGGAACTTCGACAAGGTGGGGGGGCGCGGCGG